GCGGGGCCGGCGCTGCGCGGGCGCCACCGCGGGCTGGGGGCGGTGTTGGGGCGGGGCCGCCCGGCTGCCGGCCCCTTCTGCAGCCTCCGATCTCGGGGCTTCCCGTGCTACCAGCGGGCCGACGCAGGGCAGCATCCCCGCGCCGCGGCGGGACGGGGTCCTCCGGGTATGCACCCCGGGGCAGGAGACAAAGCACTGCAGGGCCGCAGAGCGCCCTGGGGCTGCCCGTTTCCGGCACATTGGAGTTCAGACCCTCTGCCCTAAGTTTCTGTTTCCCATGCCACTCGGAGAAGCCCGAGCCTGGGCTTTGGGGGGGGGGTGGTGGTGGTGGAGGGCTGCCCCTCCAGCCACCTTTCTCTGGGGTATGGGCGCATACCATCCCTCGGTACAGGTGGGTCACGGCGCATTTTGCCTCCGGGAACTACCTGTGAGCTCGTGAGGTAGGGCTCAGTTGGCCAAAATTAAGGGCGAGGGGCAGGAATGATGCCCCTCTCCACCTTGAGTGGGCCGGGGCTCCCTGGGTAGTGGCCTGTGATGAGTAGTGTCCTCCCGGCTGCACAGGCCAATATTTTGGAAATTCCTGAAGCTGTTTCCATCTGCCCAAGGGGGAGATGGCCCACTGCGGGGAGAAGCTAAGGTGCAGGCAAAGGTCAGCATCTGTATTCGCCAGGAATGCACCAAGGGCGGGGCCCCAGGACCCCCCCACCCCCCGTCCCATGAGTGGTCAGGGCTTGGCCCGGCAGCACCAAAAACACCAGGCTCTGGGCAAGCTCCAGCAGGGGTCACGGCAGAAGGAGGAGGCAGGCGATAAGGTGAGGTTTGCTCATATTCCTTTATTGGGCCAGGGAAGGGTCCTCACCTCCTACGTGTATACATGCATGCTTCAAGATGTATACAAGTAGATGTTTGGAGACGGTGGTCAAAGGAGGTTAAGCTCTTTTACAAGAGGAAATTAAAGTGATTTCAAAGGGATGTGATAACACCTCAGGCTGCAGCCCGACCCAGCATTGACTGGCAGAGGCCACCTGTGGGTGATGGGGCTTGCAGCCTAAGTTGGAAGAGGAGCCAAGGGGTAAAGAAGGGGCTCTACCCCCTGAAAGCTGTCCCACCCCGCTTTGAGGGGGCCTAAAGGCCCTGTTCCATGGTGCCCCTCAGGGGCCCTAGTACAGGGCTGGTTTTTCAGAGGACAGTCTTCCTCTCCATGTGGTCTCCACGCCCACTGCGCTGGTGTCTCACTTCCAGGTGTTTGTTCTGGACCTTCTCAAAGTGCTGCAGCAACTCAGCGTAGTCAATGCTGGGGGCACTGACTCTCTGGGCCTTGGGGGGAGTCTTCATACTTGGCCTGGGAAGGCAGAGTAGGAATGAGCAGTCTCAGCCTACAGGGGGCCCAGAGAGGTAGGATCCACCTGAAGGAGGAATGCACTTGTGCTTGGCCTGGGACAGTGGAGCGTGTCTGCCTCCAACCCTTCCCCCACTGTCAGCCACTGCCATCATCTTCACACACACCGCCCCCCCGCAGGGGGTGGGATTAGCCAGGGCCACTGCCTCACCAGTGGGAGTTCACCCACAGCCTCAGCGTTGGTGGCAGCGCCCAGAACAGGCAGCACTATAGCATTTCCTGTTTACAAGTGGCTCCCTTTGGGGTGAAAGCCAGAGCTAGCAGCCAGCCAGGAAGCCAGCTGGGGCCAAGCACAGGGTCTGGGCAGAAGGGGGAGGCAGGAGCCTAGCCCTTTCACGGGGCAGGTTAGCTGTTTTTGAGTGCAGGGGACAGTGGCCCACCATCCTTCTCTCTGCCTGGAGCAGGGGCACTGTTCCTACCACCACAGCCACAATCCTTGCAAGATACTCCATACAACAGCATGGGTTGTGCACTATTCAAGTACAATCTGCCTTCCACAGTCATGCACTGCACCAGCCGTGCTCTGTCCCACCCTTACCTCAAGCCCAGCATTCATCTTGCCCCTGGGGACTGGACACCTGTGGACCTCCGGTCCCGTTCCTGGCCATGCTTCTAGCAGCAGGTCTGTTAAAAGCTACTGCTCAATTACTGTGCCCTTACAGGCTTGGAACCAGACCTGCATCCAGGCTTAAGGCTACAGGTGCTGCTCAGCTAAGCAGGGACCAAAAGAGACAAACCTGGATCCAACCACTTCTTTGGGGTTGGGACTCAGATTCCTCACATTAAACAGCGGCAACCACAAGAGCCTCCTGCAGGGGTGGCTGTAGGAACTCAGCTGGGACCCCACCTACCTGATGGCAGCCCCTGGGGCCACTCTGCCCCTCGAAGGTCAGGTGGCCAAAGCCTAGCAGCTTGAGGCCTGGCACCTGTCCCCTGCTCCATTTGTGTTTTGTGGAAACACAATGGAGCTTCAGCCAGACAGGCATCTGGGCTCAGCCACTAGACTGCTGGGACAAAACCCAGGGCAGTGGAAATCACCCCTGCTTGGATGCCCACCTGGAGCCAGCCTCCTGCCCCACTCTTGCTGAAGAGAGACATCAGCAGGAATGATCTGGGATGGCAGTACCAGGGGCTCAGTACTCAATAAACATCAAAAGGAACAAGGACTTTTCCCAGCCTCACTATAGGCAAACCTTTCTTGGCCTGAGGTCATAGGAGTGAAGGGGGTGTGCCCTATAGGGCTGGGAGTATCTGAGCATGGCAGTCAGGGCAGCCTCTCCTCTCCCTCCCTGTCATCATGGCTGCAGCTCAGGCCCTCGCAGTTCTCTCCACACTGATAATACCCCTCACTGAGCCACAGGCCACTGCAGGACCAGGATGCCTAAGCCAGCTCTCCTGCCCCTCCACCTACGCACCTGGCACCAGGCTAAAGCGGAACATCACCAGCCTTTCCGATAGAGGCTCCCTCCTCAGGAGATGGCCCCTTGAGAGGGGCCTGGAAGCGTGGAGGGTGGGTGGTACAGCCATAGCCCGGGTGGGGCCTCGTGCACATCCCAAGAAGGAGGGGTTAGTGGTACACTCACTCTCCCAGCTGTTCCTGGCTGGCAGGACCATCAGGCAACCCGACACTGCCGTCCAGCTGCTTGCCCCTCGCAGGGGGTGCAATGCCCCTCTGTGCCCTGCCCTGCAACCTGACCCTCTCCAGCTGCTCCAGGGCTGCTCCTGGCCCCGGCTCCCTTGGCTGGCTCTTTCTTCCCAGGTTCTTGCCAGGGGGCTGGGCAGCACATAGCAGCAGCTTAACCCAAAGGTGCACTTACTAAGGGAGACAGGAAAAGCCAAGACTGGCATGAGGCCTCCAGGTCACACTGCAAGTCCACAACAGCTGGCAGGCTAGATCCCAGCCCAAAGTGGCACTACCCACTGACCCACACAGCCTCCTATCCAGAGCTGTGACCCTGGCCTGAGACTCGCAGGTCCTGACCCCAGGGGATCTAGAGGGAACCCTCACTTTCCCCGGGAGAGAGCTGGGAGGCAACAGGCCTGGGGCCAATAGGGTACCATCTCTGGAAACCACCTCTGGCTCCCCAAAGCGCCTGGAGAGCTTGTCAAATGTCCTCCCTCAGATGGGGACCCCGCAGACCTGCTGGTGGGGGAGCTCCGTATGTTGGGGCATTATCTCCTGGGGGCTACAGCCCCCTTGTCTGGATCTGCAGGTGATGAGGCCAGGGCTGGATGGGTTTCATACACTAACAGAGTAGCCTGGGGTGCAGCAGAAAGACGCCCAAGATGCTGCTGGACATGGTGGGCTCCCCTGCCGCGTCAAAGTGTCTCTAAATGTTTAACAGGCTCTCGTGTCCTAGAAGCTCCAGGAGCTCCGAGCACCCCACCACCCAACCCTCACCCCAAGGAGAAGTGCGGCACACTGAACTCTGAGGGCCGCAGGGACCCTTGGGGTCCATCACCCGGTCAAGGGGCTGCCCTAGGGAGGGCTGAGTTCCTGTAGTCTCCTGCCTCCAGCCCTTCAGACTGCCAGCCAGGGTAACCCTAAAACCCACCACACGTGGGAAGCTGGGCCAGTGATCAGGGGCGGCTGCAGGGCCTCCCTGCAGGTCTCAGAAGCAGAGGCTGAGGGAATCCCAATGCAAACCCAACTGGGGGCTGCCCCCTGGCACACTGGGTGTAACCAACGCCAGCTCCGGGGATGACCTGGTTGGCGTCATGGGCAGCTGAAGCAGGCCCCACCCTGCCATCCTGGAGCAGTGTCCACAGAAAGAAGCAGGGCAGGGAGGCTAAGAGCTGGAGCCTGAGGCAAATGCCCACACCTGCCCCTGGGGAAGCCAGGCCAGTGACAATCAGGCAGGAGGTGGTGGTGGAGACCCAAGCCCAGAGGCATGTGGCACAAGGGGCTGCACTCAGGTGCCGGGTAGACCCCAAAGCTGCCTGCACCCACCCTGGGGCCAAGGCCAGAGGGCCTGCGCTGGAGCCTGGCGCCAGGCCTGCCGAGTGGCTCTCACAGCCTGGGAGGGAATTCTAGACACCCAGGGCATCTGATGCAAGCTGGGCACGCTCCATTCAGCGTAAATCTTCTCAGTGGCTCTGCTTGTTTCCATGGCGACCTGACAAGTGAAATTTTCCATCTCAGATGCCAAATGCCTGTGGATGAGGCAGAGCCTCCAAGGGTTACCAAATATAGACACAGCCCAGCAGGCTCTCAGGCCTGGGCCAGCAGTGCATTCACGGTGGGAGCCTGGACCCCCCGAGGGCTGAGCCCCCCTGCCCAGACACTTCCGTGCTGGGCCTCTGGGTGGAGACGCGCCTGCAACCATCCAGGGGCCGATCTCAAAGATGCCAGGGTCTCTCGGTGCCCCAGGTTCACGTCTCTGCCACAGCTGGGGTGGGACAGGCTCTCTGAGGCCTGGCAGATGCCTACACCTTGGCTCTTGCTCACAACTGCAGCCTGCGACCCCTCCCCCTCGGAGTTCCTCTCCCAAGGCCTCTCCCTGCGTTAACTCCAGGTGGCTTTCTGATCCTGCATTACCTCGTGGCGCTGCCTGCCTTGCCACCTTGTTAACACTCCCAGAAGCCCCAGCCCGGCGCCCTGAGGTGGACATGTGGGGCCGAGGGCCAGTGGCCCGGAGGGACGGAGGCCTCCCCAGGAGCACTCACTCGGTCTGCAGCAGCTCAGGGTTGGGCACGCACTGGAGCCGGTGCGAGAGCAGCTGGAAGGCGCTGCTCTGGGGCAGGAGCATGAGCAGGCCGTACAGAGCCTTGATCAGGTACGGGTTGTTCTTCACGTCCAACAGCTGCAGGCGCAGATCTGCAGCAGGGCAGAGGGCAAGGTCAGGGCGGGCACCGCCTCACCGGCCCTGGGGGCCGCAGGGCCCTTGAACCCAGGCCAGCACCATGCCTGGGGAGGGTGGGCCCTCCTTCAGGGCCAGACAAGCCTGCCCTGCCTCGCAGAAGGGTCGTCTCAGCTGTTT